GACATGTCAAAGGTATGTACTTTTCCTAACCGCTCTCTGAAAAAGCTGTGTAAATAATAGAGAGCCACGTAAACAAGATGGTGTGTTGAATTGAAAGAGTCACCTGCATGCACATGGGCCTTGGATTTTGGAACCTCTTTAAGGCAGTTAAGGTGTGGACCTAATCCTTCTCCCTTTAAAACATGTTAACACTTTTACCCAACAACATGATGGCAATGTAACATTCCAATCTGTATACTTTAATATAGATATCCATATATATATATATATATATATATATATATGAGTGATGGGGGAACATGTGCAGTGCTGGCTATTCCAATCCCACACAAACATTCCTCTTTCATTGATTTCTATGCCTGTCTGAGACAAGAGAAAGAAAGAGCTAGCCCAAATCATGGGAGTGGGTGGAAATTGGTCATAGCTTTGAATGTTTGAATGCTACATTTGTCTTTTAGTTTCTTGCAAGTGGATTCGGATCCCCTCGGGTTTTGAAGATTTTGTACCGCGACCAAATTCTCCTACAACATATAACATAGTGTTACAATATTATAAGATTGAGAATTTAACTACTGTTATATTATCAATTTAAAGTTGTTATGTTTATAAAATTAAATTGTTATATTAAATGCAAGACATACAAAAATGACATAAATGGTTATCCCATCATAAACTCCAACTCAAATTGATCTCTATTTTTTGTCACTCAATTTTTTAGTGTTCTACAGATGGGGACATATCCAAAAAATTATGTGAGGAAAAGAAAAAATTAATAGAGATATAACACTTAAAATAAAAAATTCAGTAAGGGCAATTGTTCGTATTTCGGGACGGAGTTACAAAGAGTTAACCTGGACTATAGCTCAGATCCAAAATATTTTTTTTTTAGTACTACTGTACATTAGTTCACACCCTGATTCATACGTAATACTACTCTTTCTTTTAAACCGATTCATATGTAATATTACTCTTCCTCTTAACTCAATTCATTTTACAATTCCGTCTTTGCCCCTGTCTATACTGAGTTGCATATAATTCTGCGCCTGCAAGTATATGTGCATGCACATGTACATACATATGTAACAAGGGTAATCACCTTGGGTGGATAGTACAGTATTGAATTAAATACTAAAGAGTAAAATATGTTTTCATTAATATTTTTCTCCTAAAACTCCGTGTAAAATGGATGAAGAACCTAATAAGTATAGGTTAATGATTCTTTTGTGCAGCCCTGAAGATAAATTATATGATTAGGTTTCTACGGTCCCTATTAGCTGAGGTTGCATGTAGTGCTGTTTTCTAATATACTAATATGGAGTCTTTGCATGCGTAACATGGGTCATTAACTTGCTATGAAATTAATTACTAGATTAAGAAACAGATAATTATCCTCTTTGACTTTCAAACTGCGGGCATTATTGCATTCGATGCCATAAATTAACTTTATATATATATAGATAAATTTTATGATTAGGTTTCTACGGTCCCTATTAGCTGAGGTTGCATGTAGTGCTGTTTTCTAATATACTAATATGGAGTCTTTGCATGCGTAACATGGGTCATTAACTTGCTATGAAATTAATTACTAGATTAAGAAACAGATAATTATCCTCTTTGACTTTCAAACTGAGGGCATTATTGCATTCGATGCCATAATTTAACTTTATATATATATATATATATATATATATATATATATATATATTATATTGTCTGATATGCTCGAAACAATCTCAATGTAAAAGTTGAATTTTCTCCTGTGCACCAAACAGTTTTAGGATAGAATAGAAGGTGGAGATCAGCTCACAGTAGACACCAGTAGGCGAACTCCATCTTCATAGTCTACTCCGCATTTGATTATTTAAGACTTATTTGGTGCACGTTTTATTTTTAGTTTTTTGTTGTTTGAGTATCGTAATAGTGAACAGTAAAAAAAAAAGGATTTGGTAAAAATTGTTTAATGCGAAAACATTTTGTGAATAGTGGCAAAAAATCGAAACATCAATTTGGTATTCCTATATGTTTCCGCACTGTAGCGTTTGATACTATAGCGATGAAAAATAAATTTTTTTTTTTTTAAAAAAACTCTTAAATGACATTTTATATATATGAGTCATCTTTCCTAATTTACAAATTTTAATCACTCCCAATATGGAAGGAAAAGAGAAAGAAATAAGAGAATTGACACTGTTTTGATATGGAAGGAAAAGAGAGAGAATTAAGAGAATTGACACTGTTTTAAAATTTAAAATTACATTCTTACTGTTCATAATTATTAGATAAAGTCAATATTAATGAACTCTCTGTCTTCCTCTCTTAAGAAAGTAAGGTAATTTTTTTTTTCTCCTCTTTCATTTAGCCAAACAAAAAAAGGCAATGACGCAATTTCTCCTCTAAAAATATCTCATTTAACTTTTATTCTCTCCTTCCTATTCATTTTTTTTTCATCTTACCAAACGAAAGCATAAAAATATCCAACAAAACAATGCCATCAAGAAATTAAGTGCATAATGAATGTTCTTGGATAGTAGATAACCTTTCATTATTTCATCTAAATAAATATGAGCTCACCGCTTAGAATTGATGCAGTACCAACTCTTATCCTTATCTCACGATACTTTAAAAGACAATGCTATATATATATATATTTTTAACTGTCTTAAAATTAAATATTTTAAGCAAGAGTAATAAATAAATTTCACTTCATCCTAGCTCTTAAACTATATACATTCAGGTCGGTCCACGAAGAAAAGTTTTCCAACCATGCCCTTTCATCACATCATTGAATCACTATTTTATTATAAGAATTTAGTATATGTTATTGGATTTTTTGGTCAAAATATTCATAATATTTTTTTTGCAGGTTATATTCATAATATTAATAATCTTACTAATCACGGAGTATTAAAAAAAATAATCATTTAAGGTATAAATGATAAAAGCTTTGGTGTAATGGAAAAACTTAAAGTCATGATCTCAATTTTTATTTATCTTCAAACTTTTAAAATATATAAATGCTTATCATTTTCTTTTAAGAAGTTCTGCGATACTAGAGTGTACAAAAAAACCATGAAATTGAATCGAATAGAAATCGGTGCTTCATTCCGGTTCTCACGATTCCTGTTCTGGTTTCAAACTCCAGAACCGAAACTGTTAAATAATAATAAATATTATATTTTTAATTATATAATTACTAATATATACATCTATTGATGCATACAAAAAGATATATATATATATAGTAAAATATGTTCCCGTGTACAATATTATACATCAAAATGCACTACCAATGGCTTTAGAGTCATTAATTTTAATTTAATTTAATTTAATTTTAATTTTTATTTTTTAAATGTGGTTTCGGTTTCATGTCCCAACGGTTCCGATTCTAATTTCTAAGAATTGTTAGGTTCGGTTCGGTTCTGGTTCCAATTGTACCAGAAACTGTAAGAACCGGAACTGTTAGCGGGACTTAATATTTTTCTGATTCAAATAATAATTCAAATAATAATTTCGGTTCCGTTGGGATCGGTTCCGGTTCCGGTTCCGGTTTCGTCAGGAATCGAAACTGTGTGCACCCAGTAGCGGGACTTAATATTCTCTGAGTTTTTGAAAGTTATTTGAATTTTTAAATAAAAATAATATCTAATTATTGTTTTGTGATAATTTTAAATTAAAAAAATAAATTTGGTTAGTGAGCTGTGCTAAGGCAGATTGACTCATTCACAGCAATCAAATGTGCCAAAATGTGAGTGTGAAAGATTGACTTTACTAAATGGACTGTTTCACAGCCATAAATTGCGTTAATGTGAGTGATATTTGACTTTAATTTAGTTTGATCAAAAATCAATTTCCGGTATTAATTCCCGGAGCGTATTTGTTACGAAATTACGATTGGTGACCATTGGTTACCGACCAAAACTCACCTTTTTAAAAGCCCGACAGCGTGTGCCATGACAAATGCATTGTTGGTAAGATTACCGAAACACCCTCCATATTTTTTACAATCACAATAGTGGACAATCTCATTGAATGTGAGAAAATTATTATGATCTGATTATGATCTGTTGTGTCTATAACTCTAAAAATAGTTTTGGTAAAAAAATTATTTTTCTTTTTATAACTAATTTTTCATAAAACTGATTTGAGCAGAATTTTTGTAAAATTTTTTTTTATTTTAATTATCTAAAAATAAAAAATACTTTCAAAGTTACAAACTCAGTCGATCCACTTCTTTATATATTGTTAATAAATTAAAAAACATATTTGGTCAAAAAAATTTGTATAACTCTTTTGCTTTTAAAATCATTTTCCTACTCTTAAATTTGTTTGATAATATAATTACTAATCATTCAGCAAATGTAGTACTATGTTGGTACCTCGTGGACCTAATAATTTCTCATGTGTTAATAAGTTACCAAAAAAATTCTTGTGATTATAATTTTTATTTTTAAAATTCTCTAAAGTCCCCAGTAAAGAGTCTACAACAAAATCTTCTCAAGAGTCATTGTGAGTGGGTGATTTAGTTGGGGTACCATTGCCTTTTCACTTTCCCAATAACAGGTTTAAGACGGAATAGGTCTATGTTGCAACTGATTTCATAAGAAAAAAACAAAATTTTAAACAGATTTTTGTTTTTTTATAAATAAAGTAATGAGGAGGAGTTAACATTTTATGTTGGAACTTACAAAAAATAAAAAAATATCATTATTATAAATTCTAAAATTTTATCAAGAAATCAAAATTAGGTAATAATGAAAAAATTAGGTAATATTGTCACTCAATTTTATTTTCCTGCTGTCCAAACTCATTAATGCCAATCTTACACATTTATTTATAAATGGAAAATCTAATTATTACAAAAATAAGACTGTTTTTTTTCAATTTTTTGGGATGGTGACCAAAAATTCTAGAAAATGAAATCAATAGGGAAATATTCCGTTGCTTTTATAATTTTTATATCTTCTCCTTATTTTATTTTATTGAATTTTGTTTTTTGACAGAGCTTTAAAGGCTCAAACAGTAAAAGTGAACTGCAAAGCATGAAAGGCAAATAGATTCTCTAGAGAACACAGAAATAGAGATCTAACAACAATGGCATGAGAGGAAAAAGCAAAGCAAGCATAGTGATGTTTCAGTATCTTCCAAACAAAATCAAACCCAGTTTTGATATTTGTTTTTTATATTTTACTTGGTGAGTTTTTTTAATTTTTTTAATTCTCAGTTACAACGTTATTCATGTTGAATTTCGTCATGTACACATATATTTTTGTTTATATGCAAGTACATACATACACCCATCATTTAAACATGTTTCTTTGTTTCTGGACTCTTTGCTCGCAAATTTTAAGGAATTGTTGTTGAAGAGACTGTTTTCTGATGCTATAAAGCTTGGATTTTTATTTATTTGTTGATTTTGTATTATGGGTCTGAATAAAATTTGCATTTTGTTTGATGATCATGCAATTGTTGATATAAAAATATAGAAAACAATGTGTACTCTGAAACCTATGGATTGCTTGATTTTAAGTAATTCTGGTTGAAATATAAATTATCTAATATTTTTTTTCTTGCTTATATGGTGTTCAATCAGGTAGTTTGTAGACTAATTTGAAGGCAGAGTTTACTTTATGAACATGATCGACTTGGGGTTCTTTTAACCAGGTAATTTGGATGCCATTATCTGCATTGTGTTTATTTATTTTTACCCATTTTAAAATCATTTCTGTCTATTTTAATGTTATATTCATCTGGTTCTGTCACGAATCGATTACCGGGCTTATATAGTTTGTTCTTAACTTCAGGTTTTGGCTCACTGGTATAGTTAGTGTGCATCATTGGTTCAAGTCATGGAGACTTTGTCACACTCGGATTCTAGGCGGATGTACTCATGGTGGTGGGATAGCCACATAAGCCCTAAAAACTCGAAATGGCTTCAAGAGAATCTTGCAGGTATAGCTTTCCTCTCCGCTTTGTTTTCCTATTATCAGTTTGATTTTAAATTGCACTACTTAGATCCCCTATTGTGCATAATTACCGGTGATCAGATTGCCAAATTATATGTTTGAAATGGTTATGGTGGGGCTATAGTATTAGTAGCTGCCATGAAGACCTAGCATTAGCTGTGAGTTTCCGAATTAAGCAACTTGAACGGTCTTTCGTTTAAGATTCCTCTATAATGTCAGCAGCTATCTAAGCATTTGTTCTCAAACCTCTTCTGTTTGACTATTTGATAGTGCTTAGCTAAATTTTTTGTAATTTGCTTCTAAATCCGTTAATATACTTTTTTAATATTTTGTGGTTATGTATCTATTGATATATATATATATATATATATATATATATATATATTTGATGGGTCTCTTTTTCTTGAAGCCAAGCTGGTTTTTTAGGTAATTTTTTTCGTGCCATACTCTGGCTAATCTCTCATTATTAATAATTAGTCATCTTGAATTTCTTTTTCTTGAAGCCAAACTGATTTTTTAAATATTTTTTTCATGCCTTAGTCTAGTTAATCTCTGTATCCCACATTTGCTAAGCATTATTAATAATTAGTCATTGTATTGAAAACAAATTATAGCTATAAATTATTGACAATTTGTCACTTTAACATTGTTCTGAAAACACAGTGGCTATAACGAATTTATATCACATGGAGAAAACATATATATGATGGATTTTATTATTACCAGCCACCAAATTATGGTGGTCTCGTGTCAATGTGATCTTGCAGCTTAAAAACCAGCGTGGAAGAGAATTTGATTTTATATGTTGCTTTTTTATTACATTCTTCACGTATATGTGCAGTTGCCATTTCTTTTTTGATGCCATCACCAGTTCACCACCACAGGGTTTTGAATCAAGTAGCAACCATTGGATCCCTCATATTATTCTCTTATTTTTCTTCAATTGGCTTGACATTTTTTTTACAAAGTTAGCTAGCTTTCTCATAGAAATGTACAAATATAAGTTTGATTGAATTGTAGACCGATTGGTGCTAAATAAATTAAAACAATCATTGGTTGAAATCACAAAAGAAAGTAAGTTTTTCATATCTTAAAAAAATGCATTCTCATAAATCCTCATTAGTAGCCTTCCATTTGCAAGTAATAAGCAACTGGTTCCAAATATGAGAAAATAGGGAGAGCAGCATGCACTTCGAGAGAGATTCTTGTTAGTGTAAGACCTTTTTTTTTTTATAGCTGCGTGGTAGACACTTTTGGACTGTATTGAAGGGATATAATTTATCATTTTCATTTTTATAGGTGGAAAGACAAATAAATAACATACTATTATTCCGGTACACACTAGAAATAGTACAGTATTATTAATTCTCAAATTTCTATCACTATTATCACTCTCAATAGTTGTTGCCTACAAATAACCAATCCACCTTTATATATAGACATCCCTCCGTAATCAATTGTTAGGATATATTATAATAAATGACTAATATTTAGCCTCTGAAACTTTTCATCTAACCATCTATCTAAATATTTACACAAACTCCCTAATCTTATAGAATTTTCTCTTTATCTGCAAATTTATACAAACTCTCTAATATTCTAGAATCCTCCTTACTCCCTACAATACTCTATAATTTCCACGCAAATGTGGAAGATTGTAGAACCTACCCCTGATTATAAGTTGTGGCAAATGCCATGCAAAGTCCTTGTCAGCGCTTATGTGCCACCTGCATGGCGCAACCTCTCTGCATTTTGGTGGGTGTGACAATGTGCCTGGTTCTGATCGTTTTGTATATCATGTAGGTGAATGATTGGGATCCTTGTCAGTGTTATAATTCGATTGAAAAGTTTGTGTAATAAATAAAGCTGTGATAAATTATCCAAGGATAACATTGAGCCGACTGATAGGATGCTTAGGCTCATCTGGCTCCTGAGGTTGAGAGGCCATGTATAGACTAAACTCGAGATCCTCCATTTTACAATTGCCAGATACGCCTGAAGGTTGTCCTTTCCCTATCCAGTGTTTGTTTGGTGATGCCTAGAACTCTAACCAACCCTTTCCTTGTTGGTGGTCATAGTCATAATATTTGGATCTTGTGAACCATTCCAGTTCTATTTATATTTCTGAGCTAGTTTTGATTTTATAAATCTTGTTGTCCATCTCTATCTCTCTTTCTATTTATCTATTTGTGTTTGCATCACAATATAATATATATTCTCAACTTGAACAGATATGGATGTCAAAGTCAAATCAATGATCAAGCTCATTGAAGAAGATGCTGATTCCTTTGCCAAGAGGGCAGAGATGTACTATAAGAAGCGTCCAGAGCTTATGAAATTAGTTGAAGAGTTCTACCGAGCATATCGTGCATTGGCTGAAAGATATGATCATGCAAATGGGGTGCTCCATCAGGCCCACCGGACTATGGCAGAAGCATTTCCAAATGAAGTTCCCTTGGTACTTGTTGATGATGCACCTGCAAATTCTGCTTCTGAGGTTGATCTCCATACACCTGAGATGTCACCATTTTTTGAGCTTGTCGAATTACAAAATGATGCTTCAGGACTCTCTTCATCTCCTTTCTATGCTGTCAAGAGGAACGGGGTATTCACAGATGAGTCAGATTCCGTAACAAATAGAAAAGCCTTGAAACAACTCAATGATTCGTTCGAGTCTGGAGACCATGCAAAATCTGCAGATGGAAGGGTAATAAAGTTCCTAAATTTTCATGATGCAGGGGAGATGGAACAAAGTATGCAAAGCAATGATAACAACATTCAGCCTCGAGTTTTCTCTGCATCTGAGTGGGTGGGTAAATCCGAGAAGGAAATTCTAATCTTTAAAGAAACCCATGCCAAATTAGAAGCTGAAAAGGAAGCTGACCTAGTTCACTACCAACAGAGTTTGGAGAGATTATCCGAGCTGGAGTCAGAAGTCTCTCGTGCACATGAGGGTTCCAGAGGACTTACTGAACGGGCAAGCAAAGCTGAAGAAGAAGTTGAAAATTTGAAGGAAGCCATAACCAAATTAGAAGCTGAGAAGGAAGCTAACCTTCTTCAATTCCAGCATTGCTTGGAGAGGATATCCAATTTAGAAAAGGTTCTCTCTCATGCCAATAAGGATGTTGGGGAACTTAATGAGCGAGCTAGTAAAGCTGAAACTGAAGTCCAAGCCCTAAAACAAGACCTTGCCACAAAAGAATCTGAAAAGAATGCTGTTCTTAATCACAATAAACAGTCTTCAGAGATGATTTTGAATCTGAAGAACAAATTACTACATGCTGAAGATGGTGTCAGAAAGATTACTGAGCAAGCTGATAAAGCCGAAAGTGAAGTCAAAACTCTGAAGCAAGCTCTTGCAGTATTAACTAAGGAGAAGGAAGCTGCAGGTCTTCAGTACCAGCAGTGCTTGGAGACTATTTCTAAGCTAGAGGAAAAAGTCTTTTGTGCCCAAAAAGAAGCCCAAAGGCTTAATGGTGAGATAGATAATGGAGCTGCAAAGTTAAAGGGTGCTGAAGCAGAGTGTCTTCTGCTGGATAGATCAAATCAGTCTCTTAAATGCGAGTTGGAATCTCTGACAATGAAGGTGGGTGCTCAAACTCAGGAACTTTCAGATAAGCAGAAGGAATTGGGGAGACTTTGGACGTGTGTACAAGAAGAGCGCTTGCGATATCTGGAGGCTGAAACTGCTTTCCAAACTTTGCAGCATTTGCACTCTCAAGCTCAGGAGGAACTGACATCTCTGGCTTTGGAGCTACAGAACAGGGCACAAATTTTAAGGGACATGGAAACTAGCAATTTGAGATTGCAAAATGAAGTCCTGAAGGTGGAGGAGGAGAACAAGAGCCTTAATGTGCTCAACTTATCTGCAGCTGTGTCAACAAAAGATATGCAAGATGAAATCTTTAGTTTAAGGAAGACAAAAGGGAAATTAGAAGAAGAGGTTGAACTCCGGGTGGACGAAAGAAATGCTCTTCAGCAAGAACTTTACTGTCTGAAAGAAGAGCTGAATGGCTTAAACAAGAAGCACCAGACTGTGTTGGAGCATGTAGATGATAAAGCCATGGATTCTGAATTTGAAATCTTTGTCTTGCAGAGATTTGTGCAAGATATGGAAGAAAAGAACTTCTCTCTGCTGATTGAGTGTCAGAAACTCTTGGAGGCATCCAAAATGTCAAGAAAACTGATTTCTGAACTAGAGCTTGAGAATCTCGAAAAAAGGATTGAAGTAGAATCCTTGTTTGATCAAACCAATAAATTGAGGAAGGGGATGTATCAGATGTTGAAGGCTCTCGACATTGATCTAGACCGTGGGTGTGAAGATAAGGTTGAGCAAGACCAAAAATATCTACACTATATGATATGCAAACTTGAAGATACAAAGAATTCTGTCTGTATAACTCAGGATGAAAATCAACAGCTTGCGGTTGAGATGTCAGTTCTTGTCACACTTCTTGGGCAACTGAGAGTAGATGCGGAAAATATTCAGTTGGAAAGAAACGTTCTTAACCAGGAGTTAAGTATCAAGACTGAGCAGTTACCACTTTTTCAGAGTGAGTCCCATAAACTTCTTGGGATGAGTGAAGATTTCAGATTAAAAGTGAGGGAGGGAGACCAAAAGGAGGAGGCACTAACAACACAGATAGAGAATCTACATAGGAAATTGTTGGATATGCAGGTAGTTCACGAGACTTCACAAAAAGAACATTCAAAGGTGCTTGAAGAAAAAAGATCCTTGATGAAGGAGTTCTTGAACTTGGAGGAAAAGAATCACACCTTAGAAGAGGAGAACTGTTCAATCTTAAGTGAAACATTTTCTCTGAATAACCTCTTTCTGATTTTCGAGAACTTGGTTGATAAGAAATCTGTGGAACTGACAGAGGTTGGCAAAGTTCTAGACAAACTTCAAGGTGTCAATGGTTCCCTTGAGAAGTTGAGAACCATGGGAGGAAGGTTAGAAGAGGTGCAAATGGAAAATTCTCATCTGAAGGAGACACTGCAGAAGTCAGAGGATGAGCTAAAATTGGTTGCATTTGCTTGTGATCAGTTGACTTATGAAATTGAAAATGGGAAGGATCTGCTGCATCAGAAGGAAAAAGAACTTTCAGAATCAGAACAGAAGTTCCGTGTCGTAAAGAATGAGTTGTTACAAATGCATAAAGTAGTGGAGGATCTGAAGAGTGAATATATTGGGGTTAAGATGATAAGAGAAGACCAAGAAAAGCAAATTTTCAAACTGTCTGAAGAGAACAATCATTTGAGCAAGGAGAATTTGTACCTTTATGGAGCATATCAGACAATGGAGGTTGAACTGCACCAATTGCGCGAAGAAAATGAAAAAAGTAAACAAAGAGAGGAAAGTTTGTGCTCTGAACTGCAAAAGGAAAAAAATGAGATTATCCTGTGGGAGACAAAGTGTGTAGCATTCTATAGTGAACTGCAGTACTCCACTCTATGTCAAGTTGTGTTCAAAGACAAGGTTCATGAGCTTACTGAAGCATATGAGAGCCTTAACAATCAAAGCATTTCCAAAGATATGGATATTGAACTGCTGAAAGAAAGGGTTAGTGCTTTGGAAGGTGAAAATGGAGGACTCAAAGCTCAGTTGGCAGCATATGTCCCAGCCGTCACTTCTTTGAGGAGTTGCATATCATCCCTGGAGTATCGTTTGCATGCAAAGCTACAAAAAACTGACAATGCAGAAGCAAAGGTAATGTCATTTATTTGAATATAAATATGCTCTGCTATTCTAACAAGCTGTTTCTGAACTCGAAGTGATATATATATATATATATATGTCAAAGCTTTAATCAATCAACTAACCGTGTTAAATGCTTGTTACTGGAAATTGGTGGTATCATTCCTGCATTAATTAATCTATTTTAACCTTTTTTTCATGCAAAAACAATTTATATATGTATTTACTTATTCTCTGTATGTTCTTTATATATATATATGTGTGTGTGTGTGTCAAAGCTTTAATCAATCAACTAACCGTGTTAAATGCTTGTTACTGGAAATTGGTAGTATCATTCCTGCATTAATTAATCTATTTTAACCTTTTTTTCATGCAAAAACAATTTATATATGTATTTACTTATTCTCTGTATGTTCTTTAGATTTCTTCTCTCTTCAAGCTCCTTCAACCTCCTTCAACCTGTACCCGCATTTTCACACTAGTGTGATAAATAAAACTGGGAAACTATTATTAATGATTTATTCAGTTGAACTTTTGTCTTGGTTAAAGCTAGAAGCCTTAATCCTGAGCGTTTGTTGAAGATTTTCGCATTCTTCAGCTTGATTTCCTTGTGTCTCTAGTTCCCTAAGGCTTCATTAGGATTGAAGGATTTGAAATGAATGGTTTCAAGTTTTACTAATTAAGATGGATGGTTAAAATTTAAATCCAGTAGGTTAAATTTAATTAAGCATAGATGATTTGAGATCCTTATTAGTGTTGATTTCAAATAAGAAAGTTCAAGGAGTTATTTGAAATCCATGCCGGGAGGACCCCAAATCATTCAATGACTATAATAAAATAGTCTCCTATATATTTAATGTAGCATCTTTTGGATTTCCTAATCTAACCTCAATATTCATTCTTTTGTTTAAACTCAAATCCCTTGATTTCAAAACATGCATTTACCCAAATGGAAATACTTATTAAAACTGCTAATTTGGTTGAACTTTTAGTTGGAATCTCTTTCAATGAAATTTTAAAATAGGTTAAATAAACATCATAATTTGTTGTAGCCAGTTCATTTTGACCTAGAGTAGGGAGGGAAAGTGGTCATTTTTACAAATTTACTTGTGTCCCAGTAATCCTAAGATTTCACGGACCATGCAAAGATTTTGAAGCAGTTTCCAGTTTTATCAGCTGTGTTACCAGCAAGGAGACTGCATGTAATTTTTGGAAGTTGTTTTTATTGCTGAATATATGTTGTTTTTTTTTTGTTTTTTTTTTTTTTTTTTAAATGCTTGTTTTCCAGGATGCTGAATTGCTGAGTTATCTACATGTTGAAAGCTGTCTGGATGAAGATCAAACTGTTGCATTGCCAGATACATTTTCAGACTTCCAGTATTTGCAAAATAGAGTAAAAGTCATCGAATTGGCAGTAATTGAGATGGAGAAGCTTGCAATGCAGGACAACTTGAATGTAAATGCCAGACGAAAATCCAGAAGTAGCTCACGACGAGAAAATGCTAAATCACTGTTTAAAATCTCGGAAGCACAGAATGGACTTGTGACGAAAGACATTCTGCTTGATCAAATATCTGAATATCCGTCCTATGGGCTGAGCAGGACAGAACTTTTTGAGGCTGATAATCAGATGCTTGAATTATGGGAAACTGCCAATACTGGTGGTAGCATCGATCTTACTGTTAGCCAGGCAAAGAAGGTAGTAAGTCCACCTACTGAGAATGATATCGAGTACCATCAGCTTGAATCGGTAAGGGGAAAGAGTGCATATCCCACTTCAGAAATGCTGGTCGAAGAAGAGATGAGTGTGGACAAATTAGAGATATCTCCGAGATCCACAGAGCCCCATAAGAAAGGCAACAAGAGGAAAATCTTGGAAAAACTTCATTCTGATTTCCAGAAATTGATAAACCTTCAAATTACCGTGCAAGATTTGAAGAGGAACATGGAGATTTCTGAGAAAAGCAAAAAGGGAAAAGTTGTTGAATGTGATGATGTGAAGGGGCAGCTGGTAGAAGCTGAGGAGGCCATCCTGAAGTTGTTTGATCTCAATGGTAAGTTGATGAAGACTATTGAAGATGGTACCATGTCCTCTGATGGGAAATCCGAAATGGAGTCAGAAGTGAGTGGGAGTATTATTAGAAGAAAGAGAATTCTGCAACAGGCACGAAGAGCATCAGAGAAAATCGGACGTTTGCAGTTGGAGTTACAGAAAATACAGTTTGTCTTGCTGCGAGTTGATGACGAAAAAGAAAGCAGAGGAAGAACTAGAATTCCAGAAATAAAAAGACGAATTGTCCTACGAGACTATCTCTACAGTGCAACAGCAAGAAGTAGCTACAGGCGAAAGAAAGCACCATTCTGTGGATGCGTCCAGCCTCCAACAAAGTGAAACTACGATATTAGTGAAAGTTCGTCATTGTGTATAATATTTTCCTTCCTATAGACACTCATGGACTTGCATGTATTCCCTTGGATCAACTAGAAGAAGAGTAAATTGTCTTCTTTAGTTTAGAGGAACGGTTGTACATGTCAAGCCCCATCTAGTCTAAAGACGCTCCTCCCAGTAGGAGCTCTTTTTTCCTTTAGTTTTCACCTTTTAATAATTCAAATGTCACTGAGAAGAAAACTATTTCTCTATGCTTAATCAGTTTTTTTCTTCCTTGCTGACAAATGCTTCAATGGAATGCTGTTGTTGTCCTTGTCATGTAGTTCGATGTATGCCATTTTTGCTATCAATGAGTACATTGCATGCAGTTTGGCTGTCAAAGTAAACGAAGAATACGTGGTTTTAATAATCTGGAAATTAGCTAGGAGAAAATGATACGCTTTGTTTGCAGACCATCAAAGAATAGTGATCCTCATCTTTCTAAAGCGTGAAGATCTACCAAGAAAAAATTGAAATTGTTCAATGTCAGTTCATCGTCGTTGCCCGGTGTTATTCCGCCTTACACAATGTGTCTGAGAAAGGAGAGGACATTCACTAATTTTTATGTTTTCATACAAAGTCACTGCTCTCAGACCTCAAGCTCTGTGTGTGTGTGTGTGTTTTGCTTTTAAAATACAGTCTACATATGAACCCACAACATTACTTTTCATGGATCTTACATATGACTAATTTACATGCCATTGAGGCTTATACTGTGCTATACGTTTGTGGCTTGTGAGTTGTGAGCAAGGCCCCTCCAAAGCTCTCACTTTCAAGCTTCGATACTGATAAAAGCAAACATTAGCTTTTCCTTTAAAATTTCCCAAGAAATCAGCTTTCATTGTGACCAATTTCCCAAGAAATCAGCTTTCATTGTGACCACTGCTACTAGAGCTTTTTAATGAGCTCAAAAAGCAGAGCCAAAGCAACATTGCGAATCCAATACAATCAGCATATAACACAACTTGACATCGTCGGAGTCCGACAGGCAAGATAAATCCCATTAATTTTATGTGAGTAGAAATTAATGTCATCATGACGTTAGGGATATAATTGTGACCATGATGACATCAACACCTACTCACATAAATCTAGGGGTGGAAAAATAATCCGTTGCTCCACGAATCCGATCCGATCCGGTTTGATTTGCAGATCGAATCCGATTGCTACACCCACGGATCGATGGCGGATTCAAAAAAATTAAATCCGTAACTCGAATTGGACTGTTAAAAATCCGATCTGTAAAATTTATATATATATTTTCAAAAAATATATTAGTTAATTTAATTACTTAATGATAATTTAAATATATGAATTAGTTAAGGATGTATTATTTAATAATTATTTAAATATATGAATTAATATTAATAAATTAAAATTTTATGTATTGGGTTAGGGTTAAATGATAAATAAATTATACTGGAAATATATTACTTTAAAAAAAAAAAAGAAAAAAAAAAGAAGAAGATAATTTGGATAAAACTCAATCTGTGATTCCAATTCGATCCGATTCGTTATTACACGGATCTGATCCAATCCAATCCATGGGATAACGGATCGATGGCTAATCTGTTGAGAGCGAATCAAATTAGGATCGGTGGCTAATATGTTGGGAGGCTTGGTAGCTGATCGAATTAGGATTGATGTCTAATCCGATCCGTTCCGTAGCCACCCCTACATAAATCAGTGGAGTTACCTGACTTTCGGACTCGATCCTAATCAAACAGATAAAGGCTTTAAGCAAGTGCCATATACGCTAACAATAGCTCAGGAAGATAACAAACTCTAACCATTTTGCCCATTCTGCGTTTCATTTCGAGATGGATGCTTTGATTTTCTTATACTTCCCTGGTAATATGTCAGCATTATTCGCTGCTAAATTGAGATCTTCCCATTGAGAAAATCTACCAAAAGAAACTGCAATAAGCTTGCTATTCGATAAATACCAGTATCATATAGAATTCTGATAATGTGAAGTAGACATAACTCTCAATCAGTTGCGACCAGAACAAAACAGATAGCGAAATCTGAGATGAAAAGAATGATAAAATACATGAAAATACATGAGGGTTTTCCCCACACCACATGCTGCTGAACAATGAAGTGCCTAAACAACAAAGAAGTCTCCACAGAAAAGGAATCAACTCTGCAGAAACAATAATATAACAACAGAAAGTATAACATATAACAATGAGAGCCTCAACGATGGTAGTGTCGGGCCTTTTAGAATACTCCATAGTCCACCACCAAGCACATGCATTATCCCATCCCGCATGCATAAAAACAAATCTAACTAATTTCAATTTCCCAGTGCCACGAAAACCCATTCAGATGATTTCATTTTCATCGAAATACACCCTCATGAAACCCACTTCTGCATGGAAAGATATTCTGAGGTGGAAATATGCATTTGATCCCACACCAAAACAGTTGCCAATGCAAAATCAGCCCCAAATGAGATAGGATAAACTGAGAAATGGCAACAGATGGTGGTTCATGGTGCTTACCAGGAAACAGCACCATCAGAACAAAGAACATTACAGTTCATTGCTATTCTCATTCTCATCAAAATGCGTCAACTAATTACAACTCCGAATGACACCTGATAAAGGGTGCTCCAACTCAAAATGAGGTTAGACCAGCATAGTGAGAAATAGCTTTGAACAGAGATGGAAGATCAATTAATCTGACCAAACCATCTATTTACAAAGCCGCAAGTGCTTAACTAAGTTTTCCCTCAAGGTTCTCCCCAGCGGATCACCTTGCTTACAGCACTGTTCTACATACCCCGAGTCATGATGACCAGACAATGCAACATCTGGGCGCAAACTGTCTCCATTGTCAATAATGATATTGTGAAGTAAACAACATACCAAGATGATACTTGGCAGTTTCCGTTTATCAGGTCTCCACATGACCTTGTTAAGGATTCTCCAACTACCTTTCAACTGCAAGAAAGCCTTCACTGCAAGAAACTTTGCAGCCTCATGCACCGCGTTAAAATCAGACATGGCAGCTGAGAGGCCATTACTTTCATAAGGAGTTATGAGCCATGGCAGAAGAGGGTAACCAACTCCACCTACTATAAATTCTCTAATCTCCACTCCATCAGATAACATTCTTACATTTCCATTCAACCGATCACCACCCTCACAGAGTTTGTAAAATCCCGAACACTTTAATAACCTGGACATAGTCATGCCCCCAGGCCAACCTGTCACAATATCAAGAAATCTCATCTCATTATCAACAATTCCCTGCAAGAACATGCTGTAATTTTTCTCTTGGTCACACCAATCATCTGATGTTTGAACCGCTGGAAGGGTCATTATGATGTGTGTTGAATCGATGGCTCCACAACAATTAGGTAACCCGAAAGATTCCTCGAATTTGGATTTAATTTCCTCCATTCTACTGGCATCAGGCCACTTGAGATGCTGCTTGGCTCGCTCTTCCAATGCCTCAATGAATCTCCAAGTCACCTGGGAAACTGTAGACTGGCCAACTCCAAAGGAAGCTCCAACTGAAACTTGGGATTCACCCGAGGCTAATCTTCTCAAGGCAATTGCAACTTGTTTCTCAACACTTAAAAGCCTTCCCTCAATATTGATGAGGCCTGAAGGTGGTCTTGAAACCAGATCCTCTCTCACAAGTGAACAGATGTAATCAAAAGTTTTCTTTGATACACGGAAGAAATATTTGAATCCTTCTTCCTCATCAGTCGGTACTGTTGAACCTGCAAGTTTGAGTTACATGAATAAAATGGAACTAGATGTTCCAATTCTGAGGCACAAGTTGTTGAAATGATCATCTATGAGACATGATATACAAATGAGAGAGAGAGAGAGAAAAAAAAACTAGAAAAGATACTCAACAATAACATCAGTATATTAGAAATCATATCTTGACCAGGATAAATTCTCAAAAAATAAAACTGCCAAGTGCACATTCACACAGAGAGTGCTAGGTCAGAATGTCAGATGCACTTTACTCAATTATCTCAGCCTGTGAAAGCATCTAGAGTCTACAACTGGACTCAATGAGTGAAGTGTGGGCCAAACAACTCCAATATGGGATCGCGGTTCAGTTTGTTCCTTGGTTCGGACAACTGTTAGAGAATAAGAATACACCTATAAAACTAGAGCAGAACAAATGTACGTTCAGTGATGAAACATGCAACACTTTCTTCATTAATCTTTGAAACAATGATGAGATTACAAGTCTTGAGAAATGCAAACAGGGAGCTGCAAATTATGCTACGACTAGGACTAAGGCTATCGGTAATTCGGTATAACTATGGCTAAAGGCTAAAGCTAAGGCTATGGATATTACTACTGTAACTAAGGACAGAACTAAGGTTAAGAGTAAGGCTATGGCTACTAGAACTACAACTACAGAGCTACAGCTATGGACTTATGGATACAGTCACTGGTAATCTAAGGATAAAAAGGAAAGCAAGTTGCCCGGTGCTATTGGAACTCCTTTTACACTCTGTTGGAACTGGCATATATAAATTTCACTACTCCTGATTGCTGAGAGTGTCTGAAGGCCATGCTGGTACTTTAATTAACTGTAGATTAATTGATTCAGTATGGTTATTAAAGATAATCATGCTGCAAGGCATTGACAAGGTGTAATGAGAAAAAATCCTGCTGCAATGTGTCAACCTACCATCTGACTCAGTCAAAAACATCATGTCTTTTGTCAATTGACTATCCCTCTTTACCTTTGTGCATAATAGCTGCCCCTATGTCCTTGATTGAGCAAAGCGACCCTTCCTTTGGTCGAAGTTCTTGAGATGATATGTCCAATTTTGATTTACTAAAGTAAACCAAAGTCACCTAATGTTCTTTCACCGAAGCTACACTTCACTCTCTAAACTATGCTAAAAGGGGATTTCCTTCATTCACAAACAGTTTGAAGCTCATTCACCTAAATCAGTAGTTAAGCTTCCACTTAACACAACCAGAGTGGCACCGTTAACTTTGTGGCTGCCATGTGTCAAACACAAGTTGGGTCACGTGGCATTAGGGCTACATCACATTTAGGATGCAAATACAGACGGAGAGATACAGGAAGGGATTCAACAAGCAAATCTTAGACAAATAAAGAATCAGGATATAGAAAAAACATGATTATGATCTCGAAACATTGGTCCAATAATTTTTATACAGATTTTACTTCCAAAATTAATCATATTACTATTGTAAAAGTAATTCCATCAACAAACCAAAACCAAAGACAAATAATTTCGCGAATGTGCATTTGGGAACAAGCAAATGTGACCCAAATAAAGAATCAAACAGTGCAGCGGACCATGATCATAACTTTTACTTATCAGTTCCTTGATCATATAACATTGCGTAAGAGATCCCAATATTGGTTTTTCCTCAATTAAATAAACTAGTGACGGACAGCCAGTGACAATGAACCCAATATTGAAAATTGGCAACCAAGAACATGAATTTAAGTGAAAAATAAAAGTACGCATGAACTAATTTCCAAGAATTTTCAGTTCATTTCATATTCAATTGCATAAATAGAAAAGCACTAGATTAAAATAGAAGGAACTAAAGAAAGAAGAGACCTGGGCTTATAGAGTTCTTCTGCCAGAAGCTGTCCCACCAGTCAGACTCAGTGGCTTTGTTCTCTGTAGGAACTACGCTCGCGCTTCTGTTCTTCTTCAATTTCTTTGAATCCCTTTTGGTTTTCTTCGATTTCTTGGGAGGAGCCATCAGACCGAAGAAGAATTCTCCGCCGTTTGTTTGGTGGGAAAATTTTGCTCCAGTATGATTGGCCAGAAGGAAAATGAAAAGTTGTTTTTAGTGTTTGGTACGAGAGAAAAGAAGAATAAACTGAACTTGAATCGGAGGCCCATTAGTACTTATTGATCTGCCTCACTCAAGTTATAATGATGGCGCCTGACCTAATTGGCTGAATACCCAAGCCCATCAATCCTTTGTAACAAAAGCTAAATCCGAGAGGAGTAGCCCAACAAGTTTAAGTTGGTAAGAAAGTCACACATTCTGTTTAATTTAACAATATAAAATTTTAGTACTTTATTTTAAAATGTGAGAAAGGGTCACTAAGTTACATTCCTTTTGGTGAATGCCTAGGATATATCGGGATTTTGGTACTTTCACCGGTCTTTTCTATTCTTTTGATGATTTATACCTTGTTCCACTGGAAGTCCTTTCATTCAAGTTTCTAGTGCGATTCTTAGGACCACTCAAGAAAATATGAAAGCAGAAAACAAATTGGTGCTACGATTTAACAAAATTGAAATAATTTCTCAATAGTTATTATTATTTTTTTTAAAACTAAAGATTAATAAAATTTTATACATTGATTAGACTATAAGATTTGAACCAAAGTTACCCAAGCATGTTTCACTCTTGGCTCTTCTTATATCGTTTTGATTTGTTATTGATTGACATTGCATATTACATAATTTAGATGCATTACATATAAGTTAGAACCATAGTATTTTGTTATTGATTTATATTGCTACCCACAGTTGTCCAGTACTTGCATTGTCTGGTACTCTCAGATTACTCAATACTTTCTCATCCCAACTCCCTCTTGTAAAGTCTTTCATGTCCATTGGACCACACAGTCTCTCTCTCTCTCTCTCTCTCTCTCTCACGCACTCAGACAAATTATGAATTTAATTAATTAATGCATTAGGGAAAAAAACAAAGCATTTTCGCATGTAGTTGTAATATATTTTTTATATAAATTGTTGAGTTGTGGTCGGAATTCTATTTTGGTTAGCTCATGTTGCGACTTAGTTATGACAGTTTATTGTAACCATGTTTATGAGGATGCTAGAGCGCGTTTTGTTCAATGAGCTAGAGCACTAAAATTGAAAAGGAAAATGATGTTTAGGTCTACAAATTTGGTCATTGATTACACATCGGTCGGATTTGCAAGCCAACTCATTGATTAAATATCAAGAAAAATAACGGCTAGTAATTTTGTGACCGTTGAATAATGATTTTGTCTTGTGTTAATTACCATCTATTTCAAAATTTTAAATTGTTGAAGATGGTGCAAGTTTAATATTTATATTCTTTAACAACCACAAAATTAAAAGAGCCAATAGATATCATTTTTATCAACAGGTCAAAATGCTTTCAGTTTATACTTTAATTCACTTGATATATATGTATTCTACAAACTATATAATATTGGAAGACAGACTGAAAAAAAAAAAAAAAAAAAAAAAAAGAAAACCTCCCATCATCAGATCACTTAAACCAACACATTTTCCTTTTGATTCAGTGAGCCAAATGTGTTGCATCCTTATTAAGTGATGCATGCATGGTAACCGCAGATGAAAATAAGTTGGTCGCAATTATATATATATATATATATAATGTATATATATCCTTTAGGGTTCGTTAATTATTAGTAGCTCGATCAGACATTGTTGGTCCATGTATCTGATTCATTTGTGACATCCTTGGGTTTGCCTGTGTGAAGCATGAAGTTGCATGCTCCTACAGCCTCTCCCACTGTCAGATAGATCCATTCCTGCCCTATTGCCTCGATGAATTTCGACTTGTTCAGCTTCTTCATCACCTCTCCACAAGGATTTGCCAATACAAGCTGCATTTATTAACCAAAAAATATATGTTTCACTAAGCAATGTTTAATTTAAGTGCTTCATATTTCACTAGTGCCATGTTATGTGTATATACTATAAGAAGCCAAAAATGAAATGTATATACCTTGAGCCCTCTTCTATCAATACTCTTCTTCACCTCCTCTAGCATGCTAATTCCGCTAGTGTCAATGTTACCAACGGCTGCTCACCAAACATTTATCGCATTAATTTAATAGTTTGAATATATATATATATATATATATATATATATATATATATATATATATATATATGAAAAGGCTAAGAAACTTTGTTTATGGACATTGTTAATTTAGTGCACTCTTAAATGGTCCGATAGCAAAAACTTACATATGTAATTCTAAAAAAAATATGATCTGTTTTTTATGAACTCTAATAAATATTGTTGGATGCTCTTAGCGATAAGAATATAGTCTCTCCTGTCTTATAATATTTATTTAAATGATTGCTATAATAGTCTGTAACAAAAACCAATTAATAGAGAATTTTTCTCATTTTCCCTTTTATAAAATATATATGTGTGTGAAAATTGTTATTATATGTGAAAAAAAGAATATGCAATTAATATTTCTGAATAGACATGAACATAACTTACCACCCATATCAAGTATAACATACTGCAAGCTGGCCTCTTCAGAAGATTTTAGTTTTTCTTCTTCCTCGTCTATCCATCTTGATATCCTAATTAAGAACAACATTCACCTCCATGGTAAGTCTCCTTGTTGACGAAATATATATATGTGTGTGTGTGTGTGTGTGTGTGTGGCAACATTATCCTATTTCAATCAATTTTGATATATTAATTTGTAAAAAAATCTCTAATATTTAGCAGTACCTTTCTCTTAAGTAGCTAGAATTGGCAAAGTAAATGGGAGCAGCAATCTCAAGTATGAGAATTCCGGGAACATTGTTTGCGTTTGGGTACTGGTCCACACTTCTGTAGATCATAGAATCAGGTATGTTACCAAGAATCAAGGTCCTTGGTCTGGCCACAAACAAAAGTACCCTAACCACAGATAAACCAACCTGCAATATCGATCCATCGCCACAAAAATATTAATTATTAGCACCTAATTAATTATGGCACTGAAACAACTATATGTATATGTACGTATAGGTGCAGTTTGTTAGTTTGATGGTTAAGGCTCAGACCGCTAAGACTAAGCCAATTTCGACGCTGCCAAAGACCACACCAACATATGCACTGATGCAGACTAGGAAGTCGAACTTGTCAACATGCCAGAGATGAATGGCTTCTTCGTAGTTTATGAGTCCGAGCATTGCAGCGATGATTATGGATGACAGGACCACGAGGGGAGTGTAATGGAAGAGTGGTGTTAGGAGTAACAATGTGATCATCACGGCGATTGCCATAACAATGTTTGAAACTGCTGTCTTGCATCCTGCATTGAAGTTCACTGCTGATCTTGAAAATGGCCCTGCACCAACCAATTCATTTTGATTATGCATCGTATTAACATTATCAGCAAATTAATCACAATACAATACTTTAAGGGTATTATTTTAAACATGGTATCTCGTCCAATGCAGTCATTTTTTTCTTAATTTTTTTTCATTTCTTATGTATCAAGACAAATTTAGAGGTTCTATGACTGTGCATTAAGTAGGGATACCACGTACGTGTAAGTACCCATGGAATATTATATACCATTTCCAATTATAAATAATGTGTAGTACAAAATTATCTTCACGAGAAAGAACAATACTTCAAACGGGCCGTGATATTTATTGGACAACATTAGTAAATTTGGTATAAGATGGAATGAATATATATATATATATATATATATATATTAAAAAAAAACATGATCTAATAATATCATAACACGTAAAGAAAAAGATTATTTCTTGACGATTTAGTATTATTCTTATATACAAATATTAGTGAGAGAGATGACACAGGATGGGAAGACAATATATATATATATATACACACACACACACCTGTGGTCAGGTAGCAAGAAGTGCAAGAGCCAACAATGTTCATCAATCCAAAAGCAATCATTTCTTTGTTACCATCGATGTGGTAATTCTTGAACATGGCAAAGCTTCTTCCCACAGCAATACCTTCCTGAAACAGTAATATTTTATCACCACATTTTATTTAGTTTTACGTGCATTTAACACATTATAGTATACAATATTGCATAATAATTCTTTTTAAATTGAACGAATTAAAAAAAAAAGTAGGGGTGAGGGAGCTTACAGCAAGAGCGATGACACCCGTGACAATGCCAGTTTTGATGGCTGTTGTCAGGTACTGTGATCCAAATGCCAGATCCATTATTGACACGGGATTCACTCCTCTCTTCAAATGTCCAATCTGAATATATATATATATATATATATATAATGACAAACACCACCACCATATATATCACAACTCTTCATCATTTGTATATGTTGTATAGTATTATACACACACTCACGCATGCATGTACATACACTCGTACACCAATCAGAATGTGCAAACATCCAAAGATGGCCATGGACAGCATAATCTGACATTAAACAAGAAAATTTATGAGACCCCAACTGACCATATGCCAATACTATCACTTTTTTTCGCCCTTCTAATTACTTTTCTTGTCGGTAAGAAACTTGCACCCACGCATTCCGAGAATTTGAACCCACAACTTCTTATCTTGAAAGTAAAAATGCACCACTAAAGTATCATCCTTGATTTTTTTTTTTTAATTTTTTATATTACTATATGTGATATAATCATAAAATTTATGTGGTTAAGTGTGACAATATGAGTTTAAATTTTAAGAGAATTGTTGTGTCACGTATGGATATATTTATATCCATATCTATACATATATACAATATGATACACAAGTGGGAAAGATGTAAAAACAGCATTTTAGTTAGGTAGTCCATCTCCTTTTAGTTTACACGTAAAATGACACTTTCAAAGTTTTTTTTTAATTATTATTATTTTTTTTAACAGATTAAAATGATGTACTACTCGAACACGAACGTGCTCAAAAAGTTGAACCAACTATCAATTAGACCAATAAATAATGACCAGCACTCCTGAGTTTATGCCCATGAATAAACACCATAAAATGACAAAGGATGCAAAATATGGTAAAAAGTCTTCTTCTTTTTTTTTTAGGTTTTTTGCAGAAAGAAAAATGTAGCGCTGGCCAAACAGGTCAATGGGGACAAGAAAGCCTGACCCAATAAAACAAGAAAATTAATGCTTGGGAACCAACTCTTTGTTGTTTTTTCCTTTTCCTCTTGGGACCCAACACTTGACATGGGCCAATAATGTTGGACAAGAAAGGCCCATCCATCCTTCTGTGCTCATTCTATGGACCATTAAAATAACGGGTAAAATTTACTATCACAATATAACACGTATATTATATATATCGCATATTTAAAAATATAACACCAATTTTATATATTATATTGCGCTACAATATTACAATATCAACACATTAAGAATTTAATATATTTACGTGATTGTTGAACTTTTAAACCCTGTGAAATGTGTTGAGCCCCTGTACATACACTGTGATACACATTACACACCATGCACTTGTGTGTTGTTTTCGTGTGTGTGTGTGTGTGTGTGTGTGAGAGAGAGAGAGAGAGAGAGAGAAGGGGTTATGGGGGTGCTCACCACTTGGACACCGTGTTTTTCAGCGTGGGTGAGATAAACGAGGAGGCTTCCCAAGATAACAGACGTCAAAGGAGCCATCGCTGATATCCAAAACAGCTTTGGTCGTCTCTTGCTCTACATTGTCAAACATCAACATTTTTTTTACTGCGGTAAACTAGTGGTAAAAAAATATTTTACCTTCAAAAATAAAGCTTTTAAAATACATATACATTAGCATTAACAAGAAGTTGTGTTTTGTTATTGAGGAATAAAGAAAAACAATTGTGGGTCGTGTGTTTGAAAGTGTCATTTCATTGTTGGGCTTGGGCCTACTGTTGCTGCTCAGCTGTCCGGATCTGACTCTAGTGGTTCAATTATTTGTCGTAGGCCCTTTTGGTTTTGAGTCTTTGTCGGCCAACTCCGTATAGGCCCCCAATTTTGACTCCTTTCTGTTTATAATATTTTCAATGCCCAAATTCCACTAAATTCTTCTGTCCTGTTAACCCTTGCAATAATATATATATATATATATACACACACACACATAATTGTTCACTTGTTCCGTAGTGTGTAGGAAAATAGATGCGCACCTCAAGTATTATGGGTAGTTAAAAATGCAATTTGTTATTCGTGCATAAATTCTTTGTATATCAATGAGACAGTGAGTAAGTGAACAATCCTGCTATATATATATATATATATATATATATATATATTAACAACAAACGCTTTCAATTTATTAAAAGTTACAAATTATCTTTGTCTAACATAAGGAAATTAAAATTTTTTAGTATTAAAGTGGTCAATTACAATGCAAGTGACACATGAACTTATTGTTTTGACAAAAATACTCCTTCGTATGCAACAAACACCCTTAACTTCAAATTTATAAAATCAATTGTAAATAATAAAATGAACAAGTATATGATATTTTTAATCAAAACAACCAGTTCATGTGTCACACGTTGCACTAACCACAACATCTAAAATTTTTATTTCTGTACATTAGGAGGGTAATTTGTAACTTTTGATACATGAAGAGTATTGTTTATTGCAATTAAAAATAGTAGATGAGATGTCATGTAATTTTTTAACTCCAAATGGAGATTAAGTACAATTTTGACCAATTGTCATCATCTATATATTCTCTTTCATTTTCTTAATCAATTGCAACATAAGAAACCGTGCATTGGTTGAAATAAATTCCACATTCTTTCACAGTTAGTCTTCACTAATTCGGAGTGGGAGTTGTTGGTGTTGAAAATGAGTTTATTGTAATAAAGAAGTAAAATAAAGGTATTAAGCTATTGAGTGCAACGACCTTTTTAACTAAAAAAAGGTTCATATTTTATATTATTTTTGTTGCTTTAGTTTATTATGTATAAAGTTCCATAGTAGTTAGCAAAATTCCATTTGACTGGTGTTGTTACTTTTGGCAGCAAGAAGTGGGTGGTGATGGTAGATCTTAAGAACTTTAAATCTCTAACCATTCTAAAAGTTTTTTAAGGCCAAGTTTGGCAGGAAAGAAATGAAAAGAAAAGAAAAGAAAGGAAAATAATTTTTTTTTTTAATGTTTATGCTCCGTTTGATAGAAAGAGGGATGAAGGGAAGATAAGAAGGAAGAAGTAAATTTCATTCTTTTGGTAGAGAGAAAGCAAAGAGAAAATAAGATGGATGAATCATCTTTCCTCATTCATAAATTTTTATCCTTTCAAATTTGGACCGAACACTCGAAGGAAAAAAATGCAAGTTTATTATAAAAAAAATTAAATTATAAAATTTTTCTTATAATTAACACACTCTTCTCTTCTCTCTTAACAAACAACGTACGTAAGGTATTATTTTATTTTACTTCTCTTTCATCCAACCAAACAAAAAGAGAAGAGTAAATAATTTTTTTTCCTAAAAATATATCATTCATTTCTTCTTCTATCCATTCCCTTCAATTTTATTCCTTCCTACCAAACGGAGTATTAGTATGAATTTTTGAAAGGAAGAAAAAAAAAAAAAAAGAGAATGGAAGGATTTGTAAGGATACATTAAAGTTTAATGAGTTGATTTTGTTAACCTTTAAAAAATGAGAAGAAATGGAAGGAAAAAGACAAAAAGACTTACATTTTTAATAAAACTTTATTAATATCAAATTTTTCGTTATTTTTATTAAAAAAACAAAATATATAGGAAAAGATTTGATAATAAATTCATTTTTCCTTTCTTTTCTTTCCCCAAACTTTTTGTTTCCTCTATTTTTCTTTAATTTCTTAATTAATGTTGTCTATGTTTTTTCTTTCCTGCTGTACCATACATAAATTAATTATAAAATATGCCATGGTAGATACACTTACAAAATATCTAGCAAGGAGGAGGTAGAAAAGGAAACAGCATCCCAATACAGCACTTTCCCATCTCCACTGAAATAGTTATACATCAGACATTTAGTTACAACCAAGGAAATAAAACAACCAAGCTAATTTAATAAAATAAAAAAGGTCTCTAATATATAAGAAGAAATATTCAGTAGCTAAAATTCAATGATAGATCCAACTTGTATTAAGATAATCAAGTTACTTAATTTGGTGAGATATGCTGCCAACTGTATTAGGATACTAATATTTTCAAAATAATAATAATAATATTAATTTCAAAATAATAATAATAATAATTGGTTATGGTTAAAGAGATGTAGAGAGAGAGAGAGAGAGAGAGAGAGAGAGAGACCTTATGTGTTTGGCCGAAGACAGAACGCAGGACAGACACCATATCTGTTCCATGGGTAAAGTGCTCAAGCCCAAGAATCCCTTTTAACTGTTGCAGGATGACCACAGTGGCTGCTCCTGACATGAACCCTACTATGGTTGCATGTGATAAGAAATCCACTATAAATCCTAGCCTGTACATATATAATTATTCTCACTATTAATTTTTTTTTCTTCTCAAAATTAAGAAGGAAAAAAAAGATAAATTTAAATTCAAGTTTATTCTTTATCCATAGCTGACCAATCACAACATCCAAAATCATGGTGAGAATTTCGAAAAAAAAAAAAAAAAGAAGAGGCAAATCAAATGGTTAGAATTTCGAAATAACATTTTCATTAAAAAACAGTATTTTTTGTTATCCTTACCATGCAACATGGAAACGTAACAACAAACGGCACACGCACACAGACACACACACAGGGAACAAATCCAATTAATTGCTCATTTAATCATTTCATATCATATTAAGTGGCTAGTCAACAGAAACAACACGAAGTACTTGCTGGCAATTTAAGTGCCTCTTCTATGATTAATGAAACCTAACAAACTCTATATATATATATATATATATATACTTCAATCTTCGTATGACCACTGATATGGCACAATGATACAATTACATGTGCCGATTTTAGTTAGACACGGCTATCTATTAGTCTATTAATGGAGAAGTTTATTCCTTGTATGAATTGAATATGGTCAAAATTTTGGTAATTAATTTCCTGACTATCGTTCCGATTATTAGGTCGGTCTGTAATTTGTTATATTAATGTGATACCAACCTTAAGAGTCCCAAAGAAGCTTGAAGAACTCCGGCGAAGAAGGTGGCCGTGAAGGCGAGATGAAGATAGAGCTTGGGATTCTCAGTAGCATTCACTTCATTCCCCAACATAGAAGCTGTGAGAAGTGAAGCAACAGCAACAGTCCCCACAGCCAAATCTCTCGAACTCCCCATCATCGCGTAAACCAGAGGCGGAACAAAGCTCGAATCTGCAAATTTCAACACAGACCCCATTAACAAATCACTAAAAATTTTGCTTTGAACACACTTCGTTGCATCATTTTCACAACAGTACTCACACAGTCCAAGAATTGGCGGCAAGTTGGCCAGTTTTGCGTAGCTGATTCCCTGAGGGATGGCGAGGCTGGCAATGGTGATTCCGGCGATGAGGTCCGATTTCAAGAACTCGAGAGTGTAACGCGGACCCCATTCGAAGATGGGTAGGTAGAACTGGATGGCTAGGATGATTTTTCGGGACATTGGCTGGTTCTTGAATTGCCGGAAAGGATCGTCAGGGAAAAGAGTCTCTTTCAGATTGTACTTGAGTGACTTGAGAAAGGGTTGCGGTGGAGGGACGGTGACCTTGTGAGCGCACTCGACGTTCACCGGAGGGTATAAGTAGTCGGCGTTGCCCATTTGTGAGCTCAAAAACAATGGTGGATGGCCTTTTCGGTACTAGCTAGTTAGCTAAAACTAGTGATATATATAGAGGGAGAGAGAGTGTTGTTTGTTTTGGTAGTGAAATGGGGAGTACGTGGTGCTTTGCAGAAAGCCACGGTGGTGGTGGTGGTGGTGGGAAGGTTGGAACTGGACTGAGGGAGGGGGTAACTGGGAATTTACATATATAGGCCGGGGAGGAAGAGTAGGGCATTTTTGGATGCTCAGTGGCCCACCTAGTTGATCTTATTGTAGAGTGCCACCTAGCTAGTGTTACTTTTTATTTATTTAGTTATTTTTTAATTTTACTTTATCTTGAGTAGGTAATATTTCCCAAATTCTTTGCTGCGTAACCTTTCAAAAAAATTATTGAGTACTTAAGCTAATTGACTCATGTAACACTCCAAGTCTAATAAACACTTATAATCTTTCTTATTATAATGAGTAATGCTATTTATTAGGCTTATCTGCCTGGTCTTAGAATTAAATAATTTGAATTTTTCTTCACTTGATGATGTCATCTACTACATTAAATAGAATTGAAACTCTTCCTTAATACAGATAGATTAGAGAAATGGACATAAGAATCAACTTTTTATATAAAGTTAATACATTGAATTTTGACGATCAGATTTTGAACAACTTTCTTATTTAGAAAATAACTAAAAGCACCCAGCAATGTAAATCAAATAACTTCAATATATCCACTTATCATCAAAGATGTCATTTTATACTTTTAATTTTACCTCTTTAAAATTGAAAATTTTCAACTATTTAATGACAAATTTCACGACTAAAAAGTGGTTAAATTGCACCATTAAAAATAGTGGTAAATTTTATAAGTAAATATGATAATGTGTGCATCCTAAGTAGTACAGAAAAAAGTGTATTTCTTATTATTGTGGTAAATCATTAATTTGCTACTAGGAAAGCACAAAGACCAATGTTATCAAGACTCTGTCCAAATAATTTCATTCGACCATCTTATTGGCCCGATACTTACCTTGTACATTTGTGCAGCCAATGGTTTTTTCTTGCACTGAATCGAATTGGGGTCCATCTAATGAAGTGGGACTAAGGTTAGACTGTCCTGATTCTGAAGGAGTTAAATCTCATTTCATGTATGCAAAAGTAATAATAAAAATAATAAATAAATAAATCTCATTTCATGACATGAAGTCGATAAATTACATTTACCTCCCTCACTTGTATAAGGGTACACTATTTAAGGCTTATTATTTACACTTCAAATGATATTTTGCATGTGTTCAAGTACAAATCTGGTAACCACATTTTATAAAATGTCAATTTTACTATTCTCTTATATAAAATATAATATAATGATATTATTGATTTGGCATGTGTTAAACGACAAATTTGTTAACCAAATTTTATAAAATGTCAATTTTACCATTCTCTTGTATAAAATGTAATATAATGATATTACTGATTTTAATTCAACACCCGGTGAACGAGTTTGTGGGAGATTAAAATAATAAATACTGAAGAGTCTACCTGTATAATTTATCCAAACTTTAGAGGTGGTTAGTATAATTTATCCTAAATTTTATTCCAAACACGCCTAATTCAATAGATTACAAATATATATATATATATATATATATATATATATATATATATATATATATTGAAAAGAAGGATTGCGGCTAGCTTGTCCATGAAATTAAATTAAAATGTACTACTTTTGAATTATTATCAGTTCCACACCAATAGTTAATTATTGCAACCATCCTGATATTTCTGGAAAGGAAAGTAGAGTCCATGATTTTAATGATATATTAGGCAGCCAAGTGTAATTTAAAAACAAATTTTTAGGGGAGAGAATAAGAGAAGGGATAGAGACCCTTAAACAGATTAAAGAAAGATACTGGGAAGAGAGAGAAACCCAAAACAAATTAAAGAGAGAAACAGCATAATATATACAAATAATGTGTTGCAGAGAATCAATCCGGATCTTCATGGAATTCAATTGGGGTTCGATGAAACAGATAAAGTGACATGGTAAATAAGGCCTATAAGAGCGGACCGGAATGACTTTGACTGCAATAAAACAAAAACATTGTCATGGTAACCATTCATGATGCAGATATTGAAATTTCTTGTGTATCGCCTCGGATCAAAAACATATTTATGTTTTTCTAAATATCTTGTTTAATTTGAATGGATTTTTTCATAAAAAAAAGTGCTCATTTATTGACTTCAGTCATTAGTGTATGGAGTAAAAATAGAAAAGCATTAATGTATGATGTGTTTTTCTCTGACATTTACCCAAAAAAAATACTCCGTATATACTACATACTTTAGTATAATGGAATTGTTGTAACTATTGCTAATAATCAGTTCATTATATTTTTCTACATGCTTTAGAAAAATGGCAAAAGTGCAAAAAAATCGTGTATGGACTAAAAATAGAAAAGCATTATTGTAAGATTGGTGTGTTTTTCTCTGCCATTTACCCAAAAAAAATATAAATAAAATAAAAATAAAAATCTAACTACATGCTTTAGTATAATGGAATTGTTGTAAATATTGCTAATAATCTATTCATTATATTTTTTACATGCTTTAGAAAAATAGCAAAAGTGTAAAAAATCCCATTGAAATTTCACCAAATAAGCACAATACTCGTCTATGGTATAAAAGTGAGCAAGTTAGTCCCCGTAGCTTCAAAAGTGAGCAATTTGCTCCCTGCATTTCACCTTCTTCGATCACTTTCCGTCCATATTGATGCACATGATTGATTTTTTTTTTTTTTAATGCTGAAAGTACCCTCCATTATAACTGTTATACCCCCATCTTCCTATAAGAAGACTTTTGCATTCCTTTGTTCCAATCAAACCTATTTATATTATCTCATCTCCATTTGCATTGGCTTTTTATGCTCTCCCTCCAAGGTCAGTTGATTTAATCAATTTATTAATTAATCGACTTTTCATTTTCATATTTTAAGAAACTTGATCTTTTTTTCTATTACCATTATATATTATTAATAGGAAATGACAAAACTAGGCATCTTTTTTTTAATAAAAACTCAACTAAAATCAAATTGGCTAGGCTTTTCTTCTATATTACTTTCGGTTCCAAAAAAAAAAAGTTGTCCCTACCGTTCAACTATGCCAGGTGTTACAGGGCTGAATCACACCACAAATTTTTGCCTCTGTAATGACACCACTAAGTCTCAACCAACACACAACACAACACACAATACTAAAGTGTAAAGAAGGCACACACAGTTTACAGGGACAAGCCCTAACCTTTGCTCATATTAAACATACTTCAAAGCAACACAAGTTCGTACAAGGCACCCAGACTCAACACACTCTGTGTCTCATTCTCAATCTGTCCTCTTTACAGTTTCCACATTAACAATATATAGGCAAACTCTCAAATTGCCCACAACTGCCTACTAAAGTGGTGGATGACACCCCCATCCACCTAGGGTCGTATTAGCACCCTCAAAGTATGCCAACACTACATATGCAGTTGACAAACCCAACAGCTAGCTTGTTGGCACACTCTGCTCATGCCACCTATCCACAGGAAGTTGCACATTATTTGCTACCTTCTATATATCAACATAGTGGAGGAAAACCGACCCCAATCACCTGTGTGTTGTCCCCTTAGATCTGTGCCACATGCATGGGAAGTTACTCAGCACACCCCCCACTCCCTATAATATATGCACATGAGTGGGAACTATTAGTAACTTTCCCCAACCAACTGAACACACCCCTACTCCACATAATATATGCACATGAGTGGGAAGTATTAGTAACTTCCCCCAACCAACTTAGCCCACTTAGCCATCTTCTGTAACCATAAGCCATGACTTATGTGGTCCATGTTTTAAGCAACATCTGAGCCAACCTTATGAACTTAGCCCGTGCCAAGCCCACTAATCTGCACCCACATATAAATGTATCTGAGTGCACGGCGTGCCAAACCATGCACACCCGTGTGTACACCCAAGTGAACGCCCGGGTGCACACCCATAAGCGCGCTGCTATACGCCGGCACGCACGTTGGTGCTCATTTGTGCCCGCCATGCCTGAATGCCCATGTGCACGCAGCTACACGCCCGGGTGCACACCCATAAGCGAGCTGTTATACGCCGGTATGCACGTTGGTGCTCATTTGTGAGCGCCATGCCTGAATGCCCGTGTGCACGTGGCTACACGCCCGCGCGCACACCGGGCTGGACGTCTACCCTTGCACCCGCACGCGTCGTTGTTCACTTGTTTACCTTTCGATAGTTTGGATGCTCCCCTCTTGTGCAACCATCTTGGAGTGGTGCAACACGTGCCCATGCACGTTGGCTAAACCCTCTAAGCAAGCCATGCCATAGCCCAACTGATGTGCTCAACAGACCCCTCCCTAGTATAGTTATAAGGAAAATCGGCACTCTGACAGGAGTAGACATCACCTATGCTTGAGGAGTTATAATGGTTTTTTAACCAAAACTACAAGATTCACTTTTGCCATATTTACGAAAATGCCACTGGGCACCCCCAATGCACGCTGACAGCATCCCATGGCTGTCAAGGGGCTTAACAAGGTCCCAACCCCATAACAAACCTCCCCCACTTAAGAATTTCAACGTCCTCGTTAAAGCATCACAAGTCTCTGCCTACAACTTAGCATGTTGGCCCCGACCAACCCGAATGCTGAATATTAACACTGCAACAACTCCACTGCTGCACTTGAATAATGCCATAAACCCAACCTCCGCATCTATTCATGACATATTATACCATAGATTCTGAACATTTTTGGATTATGTCCTCACAACCAGTAACCCAAATCAAAAACACAAATAAAGAGGGAATTCACCATTACCAACCTTGGCAATAACTCCGTGAGCATCTCTGCATAGCCTTCCCCCCAAAGCCACGTGCCCACCTGCACCTATCATGACTGTATGACAAGAGGATTGACCCGAACATTACCCTCATTAGAGTCTGAATCTCCTCCAATGACTTCTTTAGCAACCATAACATTCACCTTCTCCTTCTTAGGACAGTCCTTCGCCTTGTGTGGACCCTTGCAAATGAAACAACCACTGTCTAGGTTTGGCCTCTGCTGGATGAACGTCGCCTCTGACTTACCTTTGTCTTTTTCTTCCTCAGCAACACCATACCTCTTGGG